TGCGAGGACACGCGTGTGTGCAACAGGAAGAGTGTGCGCGGGTACACGTGCATGTGTGTGAGCGGGCGCGTGTGAGGGTGCGCGCGTGTGAGTGGTTGTGTGCACGTTATTGTGCATGTGAGCAACCAGAGATGAGCCGAGCCCTGTCAGTACGTGCTGCAGTAACAGCATAACCCAAGTCATCTTCAGCACAACACAATTAAAACAGCCATGCATACGGCTACTCACTTGCTGGGTACTTGATCTTGAGAAACTCGGCGTTGGCCGGCACGCCCTTCTCCTCAAAAGCGTAATTGCGCTCGACAGGTTTGGCGAGACGCGTGGAGATACCGCGACGAGAGAGCAGCGTATCAACCTCCTCAAACACATCCCCCATCTCGACCTTCTCCGTCTGTTGCACACGCACGCATGTATGGGTGACGGAGAGAGAGAGAGTGTGTGTGTGTGTGTGTGCGTGTGTGCGTGTGTGTGCGTGCGTGTGTGTTGATTGGTAAGTTGGTGAGTTTCTGTGTCACAGTGAGAAGTGCACCCGGTGCAACAGACCTGTGTCCGCTACAACGCATGACCATCATCATCATCATCATCACCATCATCATCATCATCATCATCATCATCATCATCATCATCATCATCATCATCATCATCATCATCATCATCATCATCATCATCATCATCATCATCATCATCATCATCATCTTCTTCTTCCACATTCTCTCGCACAAACGTGACCACCACCACCACCACCACCACCTCCACCTCCGTCGTGCTCACCGTGTCGTTGCCCTGCGCATCCACTTTGAATTCGCGCGGAAGAACAAACAAGTTGCGCTCGAGCCCGCGCACGGTGACGCAGCAGCTGACGTACTCCGATACGCTCTCCACAAACACTTTTCCAAAGAGGTACACGGCACCCGACTTGTTGTCAAAGGGGAGCTCGTACGCGTCGAGCCAGTAGAAGTGGAGCACCTGCTCGCCCTCATAGTCGTCGAGTGGCGGCGCCTTCAGGTCAAGCTGGTGGCAGATGACGAGACGGGGTGAATGGGGGGAGGTGGGAGGCGGGAGGGGAAGCGATGGATGTGCGTGTGTTTGTGGTTTGTGTTTGTGGTTTGTGTTTGTGGTTTGTGTTTGTGCGTGTGTTTGTGGGTATTTGTGCGTTTGTGTGCGTGTGTGTTTGTGTTTGTGGATTGTATGAAGTGTGCGTGTATGATAGCACGTGCGCGTGTGCGTGAGTGGATGTGGATGATGCGTACGAGCTATCAATTGCTAGAACAACACGTGCTGTCTACACACACACACACGCACGCACACACACAAACACACACAAACACACACACAACTACATTCACTGAGACACAAGCTCATGCAGGCTTGTGTGTGCGTGTGTGTGTTGGTGTTTATGTGCGCATGTATGTATGTGTGTGCGCACCTTCACGTCCTTGTGTGTGTCGACGGGCGTTGAGGACCACGCCGGCTTGGTTGCCTCCTCTTCAATCTCCATCGGTTTCGACACCTTGAGGTAGTCCCCACCTGACGCGTATATATTGAGCGAACGGAGTGATGGCGCAAGCGCGAGTGTGAGAGTGTGCGTGTGTCATGCGTTGATTTGCAGACATGTTTCGAGCATGTGTTGTCAATGTGTCCATTACGACACGCAAATAAATGCACACACACACTCACACTCACACACCTTTTGATTTCGGTTTCGTTGAGTTGGCAGCCTGGTCCTGCATCACATCATCATCACCATCATCATCATCATCATCGTCATCGCCATCCTCGTCCATGTTGATGTCGACAACAGCGAGTGCGGGCTGCTTCGCTGCACCAGCGCTGCTGTTCTTCTTCGAAGGCGACGGTGTTGTGCTGGATGGGGATTGAGGAAGAGCAAGAGTGTCGAGTGGGATGCGCATGAAGGGTGTTACAATTCAGAGAAACAACTGACACCAATGGCTGCACTGAAGGACAACAACACCACCACCACCACCACCACCACCATCATCATCATCATCATCATCATCATCATCATCATCATCATCATCATCATCATCATCATCATCATCATCACCAACACCAACACCAACACCACCACCACCACGCTCATCACATCATGACATTCTCGCTATCACAACTTACGCTGACGACCACTCCTGTGTGCTGGCGCGTCCTTCAGGTGACTCCATTGGCTCAGCATCCATTCCGCCGCCACCACCAACACCATCATCATCATCGTCGTCGTCGTTGTTGTCGTTCATGTCATCAATGTCCAGTGGGGGTTCTCCCATGGCTTCGAGCGACTTTGGCGCAGGCTTGCCACCTGCTCACGATGATGGTGAATTGTGGATGATGAGCGGTGATGCAGGTGGTGAGATGAGTGAGGGTGGTGCTGTAAAGGCATTGTCTGCGTGAGTTCACGTGTGCGACCGCACGTGACCTTCACGTACACGTGTACACAGGGTACGGCATTGCCACACACACACACACACACACACACACACACACACACACACACACACACACACACACACACACACACACACACACACACACACGCGCGCGCACACGCACACGCATCTGTACATACACCAAGAGAACACACACACACACACACACACCCTGCACCATAACCACTCACCAGCAGCAGCAGGCGTAGTCTTTGCAGCGGCAGAACGCTTGGAGCGCTTTTTGGTATCAGCACCATCGTCGTTGTCGTCATCTTCGTCGTCGTGTGGCAGTTCACCTTTCATGAACACATCGTGGGCCGCGTCCACGCTTCCATGCAGTGCAATGTGCGCCAGTGACCTGAGGAATTGACAGGCACAAGGGGGCAAGGGGGGGGGGCAACGTGCCATTGAGTGTGTGAGTGTCAGAGGCTGGGTGCGATGTAAACGTTGGTTCGGTGCAATCAAACGACGACGACGACCACCACCACCACCACCCCCACTACCCCTCACTCGTTCGTACTTGTTCTTCTTTGCGTTGCGTCTGGCCTTGAGCATCTGCAGCACATCGTCATCCTCGCCATCGCCATCCATGCCCGTCTGATTCGTGATGGTGAAGGAAGGCAGTGGGCACTCGTGAGCACGCGAAACCAGACAACACACACACGCACATGCACACACGCACACACACACTTACGCACACGCACACGCACACGTACGCACACACATGCACACACGTCGCACATGCTTACCTCGCCCATGACTTCGGCCAGCAGTTTGTCCTCGCCAAGCGGCCGTGTCGCCTGTCAGCCGTATGACACAAACCCATGCGCATGTGTGTAGGCGTGAGGTCTGTGTGCTCGAGTTGAAGGCTCACACACACGCACGCACGCACGCACGCACGCACGCACGCACGCATACACATTTTCGCAGACGCATACACATACTCACACAACCATAAACGACATGCAATACACGGCACGCTAGCATTACGTGGCTCATCTTGACGACGGCGGCGCCGAGGCGTGCGCCCTTGCCGCTGCTGAAGAGGTTGGCGGCCCGCGATGCCTTCTTCGGCGCCTTCTTCTTGCGCGGACCCGTAGGGCCACGGGGCCCGCGACGCGCTTTGCGGGCGGCGTTGCTGTACTGCGCGTTGAAGACCTCGTCATCGTCTTCCATGATGTCCCGGCCATCATCATAGTAGCCGCCGTAGTCGCCGTCGCCGTCGTCGACAATGAAGTCGGCGTGCTGCAGTTGCTGGCGCCGGTGCTGCTCGTAGGCGTCGTCGTCGACCTCGTCGTACAGATCGTCGTCGCCATCATCAAGCAGCGCGTTCCTGTCCATCTGCGTCCATCCGTGACCATCCGTGAGTGATCATCGGTGTTCGCACACACACACACACACACACACACACACACACGCAAGCACACGCACACACACACAAACGGCGTGAGCGATGATGTTGTGTGTCAGATGGCGTGTGTGTGTGTGATCGCCACCATTGCCATCCAGCGTACACTCTCACACACATGTGTACACACACACACACACAAACTTGTACGCACACAAACAAACAAACAAAAAAAAACAAGCACACACATACCTTGAAGGCGGCACGGGTGGCATCGCGCTTTTGTTTGAGCTTGTCACGTCGACTGCTGCGCGTGCGTCCCTCATCCAGCTCATCTGCACAAATCGCGCATGTGGTCACAACCGCGCACACAACACACACACACACACAAAGCACACACAACACACACACACACAAAACACACACACGCACACACAAGCATGTTGAGCTGTGCCACGACACGACAGACAAGGAAGACAGCTGTCCCGCGATTGTTCGACATGCGCGCACACCACGTCATGCTCACCGAGGTTGAGCAGGCCCTTCTCGGCCATGTCGAGGGCGTCCATGTTCGCTGTCTCCTCAGCCATGATGAATGCTGGCTGTAGTGTTTCCCTTGTCTGTCCTCCTCACGCACAGTATGCTCTCTCAGACAAGGCCCCAGCGACCTTTCTTCCTCCGGTGTTCTTGTCTGCGGTGTCGTGGTGCAGTGAGTCGCAGAGACAGAGAGATGGCGGCAGTGGTGGTGTGTGTCTGGCGGCTCGGCTCGTATCTGCGTGTGTGTGTGTGTGTGTGTGTGTGTGTGTGTGTGTGTGTGTGTGTGTTTGTTTGCCGCTTCAAGATTTTGGCGCTTGTTTTGGCGCGCGAAAATCGAATCGACTGAATTCAGTCGCAATTGCTGAGTAAGCAGAAACAAAAACCGCAGTGGCGAAGCAACACAACGGAAACGTCCAACACACACACACACACACACACACAAAGCTTCAGTGCGAGGCACGACCGACCCACCCCGTTCATATCTGACGATCTCGTTCGTTGTTCTTCTGCAAGCACGCAACGACCATGGGCAAGTGTGTTCTTGTGACTGGTGGTGCTGGCTACATTGGAAGCCACACCGTGATTGAGCTCATCAGCGCCGGCTACGACGTGGTGATCGTGGACAACCTCGTCAACTCCTGCAAAGGTGCGTGCGCACAAGGATCTTGTTGCGC